TATCGGCCACTAAAAGTTTTTCATTACGCTTCGCACAAGTCCATGTAAAAAGTACAAAGAGTTAACTACATAACGGGACAGGAAACGAATAATATCAGCGTTGCCAGTAACGTTAACCGTTTCCTGCTCACAGTAATGCTAACTCCCTGTAGTTTCCACATGTAATTATGCAGAGCGTATTGGAAATCGTTCGTTAGCCGATACTGTATAGGTCAAATACAACAAAAATCTCTAAGTGTTGGTCTCAGTAAATTATTAAAAAAAGAGGAAAGTTTAGCTACTAATTTCAATCACTCAGACGATTAAGCACTGCATCTACGGTTTCGTGCTCAAATTTCGTCTTCGTGCGATATCGCCATCATATCCACTCTTGTTGCACAAAGTACTATTTTAAAAGATGCAGTCAATATAAAGTTTATCTTTAATTTTTGAAAAGGTATAGGGTTAAAATTTAATTACATTTAATCATTTTAAATCAGAGCTTTTATCAAATTTGTATATTTTTATTAAGTAATCATGAATTTGTTTTAAAAATAATGATTTAATTGTTATTGTTTAACAAGCATCGGAAACTAAATTTATTCTATATATTATTGTGATTATTATAGAAAGTAAATCATTTATTTAGCCTCTTTAACTACCTATCTTAATTATTTTTTTCAATCATATTTCAGTCATATTGTATAATTTTTTTCAAATAAACAATTTTCTATTAATATACCTTACTCACAAAATACTCAAATATGTAGGTACTTAATTCATTATAGTTTTTGATAAGGATTAAACAAAGAAACAATGAATTTTATTAATAAATAGATTTTATCTCTTTGATTAAGATATGACACGATCGCTATATCAGTTGATATTAGTGGGTGTATCTATCAAAAATATAGAATAAAAGAAGTCATTTGTTCAAACGATCTTTTGATCTATTGATTTCTCAATTTAACCAAATGATTTTTATATTTTAATACCACAAGTCAATTAGTGTTACTTGTGCGTCCATCAAGCTAGTTAATAGTTATTGTTGATTATTTGATGTAAATTTGTCATACAAAGAAAACATTTTTCAATATTTAAAAATAAACAATTTTTTTTCGATATATTTAAAGGGACATCTAAATATAATTCCGTTTCTTCGTCACCATTTACGAAAATGGCTGGCCTATTAATTATTTCTCTAGAGGAAGAAGTTATGTAAAAAATTTCAACATTATGTTACATTTTTATTTTCTGTATGATGTCCAAATTATATATTTGTGTTCATCTGATGTATTTTTTTAAGACACGTTCCGATATACAGGGTATATTGAGAAATAGCGACGCTCACTGAATAGGCTTTTTGGTTATTTTTAACAACAATAAAATATCGTTTACACTTATATAGGGAGATTTCTAAATTGATAGTTTTTTACAAAAGCCTAAAAAAAAGAAAGATAGTTACAGAATTAAGGCATTCCAAATCCGGCCCTGTGCAGGTGGTTTTAGACAGAATAGGTGGGTCAGTTGCATGGCCATCGAGGTTTTTTAACCTCTTATATTGCCTGCCATTAAAACTAGTCCCGTAATTTATCCATTTTTTTTATTCTGAATCAATTAAAATCAATCCAACGATTTCCATTAGATTGTTCTAATTACTTATACAAGTCACTCATGCACTGTGCTTTGCTTTCACACATAAACTACACACTATACTAGATCAAATAGCTTAGTCTTTAATCGTGAACGTAAGACCATGGTCCTGATTGTCCATCAGAGCTTCTACTGTAGGTGAAATCTGGATTCATATACTAAGGAGCGTTCACTATGTTGTTGCGAAATACTTTATTCTGAAATGTTTGAATATACTTAACCTAAATCCCTGTGATTTTTTTTATAATGTTAGAATTTCTTTGAAAAAGTTATTTGAAAAAGTTTTTTATTTAAATGACTTCTACTCATGGTTAAAAAAGTATCAAATTAACCTACTATATAAATGATTATAGTTGTTTTACTTTTGGTATTGTATTTTGGTAGCCACAAATATAAAGAGTTAAATAGTACCAATTAGTGTGAGCAAAATTAAACATCTAAAATATGAATCTTGAAAAAGATGAGAATTCATAAGTTCAAAAACTAGTCATAGAAGAATTTTAATTTCCTTAGAAAATTCTCACCTTGATAATTTTAATAACAGTTTTCGATTTTGTCAAAAATTTATATTTTGTATCATATCCCGTCTGCGTAAATGACTTGACATATTTTGTTTTTTTTTTAATTTGGTGTCATCTCATCGGCGTCGACTACTACGGCCATTAGCCTCGTGTTCTGTGTAGGCTTTGTTACTGTTTCCCAGCGCCACTTTAGAAACAGTACTGTTAATTAGAACCCAACATTGTTATATGATTTTAGATCATGGAAACTAACTTTTTCTGTACAACCAAATAATAAAAAATGTTTACCAAGTAGACACACTTTATATCAAATGAGCGATACCATCAAAATAAAGAAAAAAACACTTTAAATAATTTTCTGAGTGGTGATCATAATAACCGTTAAAAGTGTCATGGTGAATCCGGAAATAATGGGCAGTAATTTGTGAAAAATACTTACAGAGTTGCCGTAATACTGAACATTTCCTTCTGTCCCGTAACCTCCGAAATATCAACCAAACTTTGGCACAATGAGAGATGATAGCATTCTTCTTACATTCCATTACTGCCTGAAGAGACAATTTTTTTTTTAAATAAACTACCAGCATTCAGTTCAAAAATCCGAAATTTCAAAATAGTAAGGATAACTGACTACTTTCATTAGTAATACCGGGTGGAGCAGAATAAGGAGCCATTTTAAAAATCTCTGGAATCGTAATGTAATATATTGAAGGGATGCTGTCGACCATAATATACGAAAATAAGCATTCAAGATTAAGCATTAGGTGGCAATAGAACAATGGACCTCCTCAGCATCATACATACACTGTCAAAGCATTTTATCAAAAAGGTAATTCTTATAAACAGGCGCGATGCGCTTTGGCAACCATTTTAGGATTCATTACAGTTGACCGGTGCCACTTGCTTGTGGGATTAAAATGTGGGTTAAGAACTTCGAGGAGACTTCCTCAACGATAGTTAAAAGAGCCTGGAAGATCAAAAACAGTGCGTACATCCGTAAACAAGAATCATGAACGTTAGATTACATTTAAAAGGGGTTAGATATTATTTTCAGATCTATTATAGAACTCAGTTATTTAGAGTCGCCTAGCTGAGTCTTTTTCATTTGACATAGTAGCTTTGAAAGTGGTTCCCGCATATAGTTTCATGAGTCTGTCTTTTCTTTGCCTAATGTTAGAAACCTTAATCTAGACAGGCCCTCAGACTGGCGCAGCACATGGATTGACGTTTTCTCTTCTCCTTCACAGAACTTGCACAATGTTGCTTCTTCTGCTGGATTGATGATTCTCATGTGCCTTCTTAGGCGACAGTGTCCCGTAAGAATGATTTGACTTTTTTGATCCAGTAGGTTATTCGTGAATTTGGTCGATGATTCCTCGATGAATCTCAATGTTGGATAGTTGTTCCACCATTTCTGAGACGCCTTTTGCATCCATTGTTTGATGGATGCCTTGCACAATGCCTTAGCAACTCCACAGACGGGTTCGGGGTCTAACATGGCCTTATCTGAGCCTTCTCAGGCTAGTTCGTGGGCCTTTTCATTGCCCTGCTATCCCTCGTGGTCTTGCACCCAGGCTAGGGTAACTTTGTTTTGACTGTTTATCTCTGCCAGATTTCCTAGGCAGTATTTCACCAGTCGTACTTTCTGGTGAGAGAATTGCCTCTAGAGCTGCTTGTCTATCAGAGTAGATGGCAATAGTTTTGCCTGATACCTGCTGATTTATAATTTCTCTTGCACAATATTGTGTGGCTATTATTTTAGCCTGAAACACTGTTGTATATTCTCCTAGACTTAGTGAAATCATTATTTTGGAAAAGTTTAAAAATTCCAGAACCGGCTCCTTCCTTGTTTTTTGAACCGTCTGTATACCAGTCGACTTCAGCCTGTATGGGAGGTCTCTGTTTTCAGGATTCTCAGGCTAGTATTAAATTTGAAAATTTATTTCAAATTTGTTTGTGGTTATGGCTTTATCAGTAGGCATTCCTAGAGTATTATCCTTTTTTTCTTGCTGGTATAGCTTCGGATTTTCAGTGTTATGTAGTTGGCTTATTGGGTTTTTTCGCTGAATTAGCCTGTGAATAATAGATCTGGTTTTTCCTTGTATGAAGATGTACAGTGGCGTGATATTTAGTAGTACTTCCATTGCTGCAGTTGGTGTATTACGAATGGCCCAAGTGGCACGCAGACAAGTGAGCTGCATGCCGATCCTGGAATCGTTTTTGAACCATCAAATCGGTTTACAATTTGTTCTGGAACTCTTAGTTATGAGTTACGTAATTTGGAACAAATCTACTGGAAGCTTATGTGTGCGAAACATCCCTGCCACCTACCAACGACACCTGCCCCACCCTATACTAAAGCCGTAACATCAGAATGGCAAAATTGTAATGAATTATTTGTTATTAATCACACAGAACTGTAAAAACCCGGTTATTGATTAATTGTTAGATACGAATTTTTCATATATACCTAACGAATTAAAAAAATTTCATCTCCAACTAAATTAATAATTAAATATAATTTATAATTGTTTAATATCGGATGTTGGATTAAAGAGTAATCATAGAATTATTTATTATCATAATATTATTCAAAATTAAAATTCCGTATAGGTACGACAGTTTAATTATATTTCTGAAATTTTGAAAATATTTAACAAATTTTCAATTTTTGAAAATGAACATCAACTATCGGTATTTGAGAAATGAAACATAGCAAATTCTTCCGATGTTTTCTACGAATTTCTGTTAAATAATTATTTTTATCATACCTAAGCTCTTATTTTGACTTATTTGCATATTTTGGTTACTTTTAAACTTTTTATAATTTTTTATTGAATTTTGCAGGGCTCAAGGTGGACTAGAAAAACTATGCGGTAGAGCAAAAGTTGAAGCAGACTGAACAATTTAGAATAGTTTTTATCATGTGCATAATATGCTTAAATTTTCTGTGAAAATAGCTTTAATTTTTAACGTACATATATCTATTTTTGTATGTTTATGTGAACGTTTTTTATGTAAATAAATTTTAGTTTTAATTTTATTTTATTGTTGCTACAATGTATTTTATATATGAATAAATGAATAAATTTAAACAAGCAATTTCTCTAATAATGTAATAAAAGAACAAATTTTATATTTTTATGAAATAGAATAACCAAAACTAAAAAATCAACATAAACCTAATCAGTTGTAAAATCATGATTATATAAGTCAAAGATGTAAAAACTATTGACCACAAAAATAAACCAATATCTAAACTAAACAAAAATTAAGCAAGCTATAAAATATAATTGAACCAGGAACAATTTGATTCTAATCGTTATTATTACACTTTTGTTTGTATTCCCTAATCACATTAGTTCAATTTTCCAATTTTATAACATCTCTAATTACCTAATTACGTCGCAGATGGATTCAGATCCTTCCCCGGATTATTTCCCGTAACTAATTTGGATTTAGAGTGCCTTTATTACAGTTTGACTGAAACCTTTTACAGATCCTCTCCCAATCGATTATGGTGTCTTAATTAAAGTTCCATGATCCAGGTGGGACTTTAAATAACAGTCAAGATTTTTTATTAGTGAGTAACTTTCCCTCTTATAAAGTACATTAGCAAAATTTTGTCGTTCAGATATCACTGAAGGCACAAAAGAAATAATTAATAACTGACGTCTCGTGGCATTTTAAGACGAATATTAATTTAATTATGTTTTATTTGTGTTCATTTTCTTAAAAAAATAAAATTTTGTATTTCATAGTTTTTATAGCTTTGTTGGCAACTTCATAACTTCGTAATTTTAATACCTATTATAATACTGTTTTTTTTTGTTACAAAAAAATGCTACTCACTAATAAATAGCAATAAATAAAAGTGTAGCTAAGATGAATAAAAAAAGTTTAAAACTAGGATTACAATAAGATATTGCCTTATATTATATAATCTAAGGATATTGCAAAATTTCAATAAGATATTGCCTTAAAAGAAACTAAGACATGTGCCGAAATACGGTTTCGGTTGAAAACCCATGTTTCGGTCGCACACGAACTGTAGTATTTTGATAAATATCATTTATTTATAATAAATAAACAACAGTCATATTTATTTAATTTTAATATTTTTCCAAAAAATAAAAAATAAACAAAATCAAATATAAATGTTAACCAGAAAAAAAAAATAAAAATAATGTGGTTACTTTAAAAGTATTCTTAATAATTTATTTAAAACAAATATCTAGGATCTAGGATTAAAAAACTGTTAACAATTTTTTTTCCAACCACTTAGGTAAGTGACACATTTTATGGGAAGTGCCCTATATGACACGCGTGTGAATAAGAATGTACGTTTCACCCGTGTGTGAATATTAATCTACTTTCCACATCAGATGTGAAATTTGTCAAACGCACAATTTCTATTTTAATATATATGTAATGTCCATATTAATAATAAAATCTATTTGATGATCAAATTTTTAACATCGATTTTTATTAAAATACCTATCTACATTAGTTTTATGTCTTTTTTCTGGTCAATATACGAATCGTTTATTTCAGAAACAACCCAAGTCACTTTTTGTCCGTATAGGGTTTATCTCATTAAAATTGTAGTTTCAGAGCAACACACATTTAATGCAGAAAAATCTAACTTTCGTTAAAATCCTTATTTATATGATAATTTAAAATTTTCGTTTATTTCTGAAACAACTTTAGTCCTGCTGCTAGTTCAAAACGTTTTTTTCATCTCCTGAAAATTCTCAAAAAGTGACTTAGGTTGTTTCTGAAATAAACAATTCATACATATTTGATTAAAACATGTGCGACATAAGGTGATGGCTCGGTTAAACTTTATCACATTTACATGTCGCGACTACGTTGCGACGCCGTTTTAATTCCCGATAGAAGCAATCATTTTTTTTGTTAGCCATCTTTTTTTAGCAGTCTTTATTATTTTTTATTTGTAAAATATGAACATTAAAAATACGTCTATTCTAATTATTTGAAATACATTTTAGTTATCATAATATAATCCCTACAGTTAATATTTCCGCTATTTATTTTGTATCATTTTAAATATTGTATAGAAAAAAATAGTAAGTAGATAAGTGGGTAACCATCTTTAATAATAAATAAAGTAAATCGTAGAGGTTACTCGAATGAAGCCATTTTCATAAACGAAAATAAAATTCTCAAAATCAGTACCACAAAAATTTATTTCATATTAAAAACTAATTGTTAACTCGGTAATGTTAACACAGACAACCGGTTTCGACTCAAAAGCCATCATCACGCCTAAAATGGAAGGGGAAAAAAGGTTCTTAACAAAATTACAATGAACAAATTTTTTTTAGTAACATACCTTAAACGAAAATTCATAATCATATAGGCAGATGATTTCTACTCTCTAAATTATGCTGAAAGTAGATTCATATTTACACCCGTGCGAAAACTAGATTTTTATCCACACACGTGTGACATAGGTCACTTTTCATAAGACTAAATAGTGCGATAAGGGTTACTTTCCTAAGTGGTCGTAGGAAAAACAATTATATGTACCTGGAATTTACACAAAATGAGAGTTAAATTACCTCAGTAAGTAGGTACATGAAAATAATTGAAACGACAGAAAAACTTCGGTCGTTAACCAACCAAAATATAGTTTTCTTTCGATACTTCAAAAACAGATTTATTAATTATATTCTTTACTTGAAATTATAGACATCCACTTGTATTATTTGAACCAAATTATCAATTTTAGGAAATATTAGGTTTTATGTGATGCTAATATTGATTTTTTCGATGAACTGATTTCAGTTATTGATTTTTTTCGGATGTAATGTAATACCTAGGTAGGTACAATACTTTCTCGTATAAAACAGTATGATAAACTATTAAATAAAGTGTGGTATCGCGAGAAATGGACTATGATGTTAAGTCAAGATGAAGGTTGGCATTTTTGGATGTCAATGTCAAGTGGCAGTCCAAGCCGCACTTCTTTCTGTATTTTGTTCTGTTAAAAAGATAATAAAGTTAATCGTTCGAATTTTGAAAGCATCATTTTATTAATACTCCAATCGATCTGGTTATTTACAGGAATTTACAGGGATGGTAAATTATTATTCCAAGTTTATCCTGAATCTTGCTAGAATGTTAAAACCCTTGTATGACCTGACTCAGAAAAATATTAAATTTAATTGGACCGAAGAAAGTGAGGAAGCATTTAATGCTGCAAAGAGAGAATTAGTATCCGATAAGATACTAGTACCTACATCTTGACCCACTTAATCCATTAAGACTGGCCTGCGATAGTAATATAATAATAATAATACTCTCCCTAATTCACCCCCTTACGAGTGAATTTCAACCCCTGAAGTCAACTGAACGACTTGTGTAGGGGAAGGGACGGCTATTATTATTATTTGCCGTGGCGCTCCGGGGCGACTTAAGGATGATTGATGGTGCCATTTGACTTACAGGTGAGGAAAACCCGGAAAACCTCACCCACCATCATAAAACCTCACCCACCATCATGAAACCTCACCCACCATCATAGTAGCGATTATAGTTTGGGTGCGGTGCTTCTACATGTCATAAAAAAATTAATGGGGTAGCTACAATTCAAAAATTTCGTGAAACATTTGCCAGGTTTGGCCTACCGAAAGTAATATGTACCGACAATGAGACTAAATTTACTTCGGAAAAGTTTTCTCAGAATGTATCGAACAACGCTATTAAACATTTAACGTCCCCACCATATCACCCTGCACCTAACCGGAGCACACTAGTTCGCTCCGGCGGTCAGATTTTAATCCCCGACCCGAAAAGGTCATAGGTAAGTTCGCTCCGGCACTAAATTTATGAGGGATGATTTGTTTCCAGGAAGAACACTCACTTAAAAGTGTTTATGGGATTTAAATTTTCATTGCTATAAGTAACTTAGATTGGGTTTTTTGGCTTATTTTTTTTACCTGGAAGGAGGCTCATTGAAAACGTAATTATTAGAATTAGGTACATTTTTCTAGGTGGGTCAAGTATGTTCTTTTATTTTCATTATTGTGAAAGTTTTAGTCGAGTCAGGGTGAAAATATTGATTGATTCCGTGTGGGCTGAACACAGTTCCTCAATTCAGCGAACCATCAACGCATGTGAAAGTTTTCTTGAAAAATTTAATGCTCTGTTTTATTCTCCACATCCAAATATTTTTCAGTTTTTAGAGATTTTAAAAAATATATACTTACATAAAGATTAAAAGTTTAAGTTTACCAAAAAAAGTGTATCGGAGAGAAGCACGTTTGAGGAAAGAATTTGCAGAGAAACAAATTTCTCTGTTAAATCAAAATAACAGTGCCTATACTATATTTGATTTTCTTAAAATTATGTCTCATAGGTATAAAAAGATAGAAAAATAGTTTTTAAATAATAGTATTTTTAGGAACACTCAAATATTCGTAGGTGCCCGATATATTGCATTATAATTATATTATTTTAATATGTATATATTTTAGTTTTGGTAAATAAATAATTTCTTTTTTAAATAAAACAATCTTTTTTATTTTTTAATGTTCCAACACAAGAACTTACCTGGGGGCTAATCGACCCCTTTGTAATCTACCTAAGGGCGGTAGATAAACCGGAGGGAATTAGTATAGTACCTTTGGAGCGAACTAGTATACGATTACCAAGCTCGACTGACCGCGGGAGCGAACTAGTATACGCCCCACCTAACGGCTTCGCAGAAAATGCGGTGGTCACTAAAACGTAGCATTATAAAGATGATGAAGGAGAGCACTTATAGTAATCCTTGCTTGGAATTCCACTATAGGAACTCAGTACATATCACTACAGGTGTGACCCTTTCAGATTTAGTTTTTAAAGTTAAGGTTAGAAACCGTTTTGATTTACTTTTAGAACAGAAAGTTAACAGTGTTAGACCAGCTACTAGGAAAAGAGAAGAAAAATTTGTAGAGGGTCTTGAGATTATAAATATCCTATAAGAAATGGGTTGAGTGTATAATAAATGAGGTATTAGGAGATAGGATTTTCCTTTGTAAAATTGTAGAGGAGGATTTGATTTGGAAACGTCATATGTATCAAATAGTAAGAGGACAATATGATAATTTAAAAGTAAATTCTGAAGTTGATGAATTTAAAAAGTTTGAGGCGAGTCCTATAATCACCCAATCTGATACTGTGACGTCTCCTGCAATAAATGTGTACCGTTCCACTGAACCTGATGTATCTAATGTTAAGCTTGATATTATTGATGGTAGAAAGATAGTAAGTGATATTGGCAAAACTAATAGTGAGAAGGAAGAAAACAGTGATACAGTGGTAACGCAGCCAGAAGTGCTTCCTAGTGTCGCGTCTAATCGGTCTAAAAGAGTTATTAAAGCCTCTGAGCGCTTCGATCTTTGAGAGGGAGGTATTGTGGTATCGCGAGAAATGGACTATGACGTTAAGACAAGATAAAGGTTGGCAGTTTTGGATGTCAATGTCAGATAGCAGTCCAAGCCGCACTTGTTTCTGTATTTTTGGTCTGTTAAAAAGATAATAAAGTTAATCGTTCGAATTCTGAAAGCATTCTTTTATTAATACTCCAATAGACCTGATTATTACATAAAGTATGTCCAATACTCGAAAATGAGTTAAAGAGTTATTATTTTTATAATTGTATAAACAGCTTTTAAAACGACTAGCTCGCTTCCACAGTTCTGAATTTTTTTTATGTGGTAAAACTGTTCCGGTCTATTTTATTCTCTATTTTATCTCTTCCACGCTTTTGTGCTGACTAAAAACCGACTTTAGCGCAAGGGTTTTACTTGCCTAATAGTAATCGGTCGATATTTATAGTTAAAGATTTCTATAATAATGTGCACTAATTCTCTCTCTAGTCAAGTCCAATGAAGTGGAGAGGGGTGATAACTGTCAATGAAAAAGTCTAGACACTATGCACAATTTCGTTTTGCACATTTTGTAAACAAGATTCAGGGACGGTTTAACAACATTTTGTGCAACAATTATAAAATAGTGCTTCGGAAAATAATTAACAAGTATAATTTAATACTAAATTGAAATAAAAGCACAAAAAATCGTAAGATAACAAAGAATTGACGCCGAAGAAGCTTACAACAGTCAAAAAACAAACAAAAAACAGCTGAACATGAACATAATCGCTGAACAAAGCCAATGCTGGAATTTGTTTACAGTGCTTTAGGGCAACCTCTCCTTGACATTTACATGTATAAGAGTGGATAATTTCTACACTCGTGATGGATGCTTTATAAGTTTATTAATATTGAATTTTTTGTTTCACATCAAACTCTTTAACCGTTAAGAGCAACAATATTATATTTTAATAAATTAATTTTGTTAATTATGCTTTTTAATTTTTTGTGTATTAATAAAATATTTAAAACTTGTAGATTGGTTCATACAACTCATGTTTGCTTTATCGTATCGAATATAATTTTCTTGTTACAATAATGTGAAGAGTTGGTATGAACAAATCTTAATTTGACTACTAGATTTTAAGTAAATTTTGAATGTTCCTGTGTTTTGTATTATCGAATGTGACCGTAGGATTGCGCCACTTCCTTAATCTGTGACTTGCGCTTCGTAGATTGATACACACTGTGCCCTAAACGTTGTCTAAATCAAAGCCACTTAGATAAATATAATTGTTTGGTGTACTTGCCAACAATGGAAGGTGTTTCTTTGCAGACTGCTCAATTTTTGCCCCTAAAATCATAGGCAACAGTAATTGTCAAATGCAAGCAAACTAGTAAAAGAACAACTCAAGCAATTTTTAATGCTACTGGGAAAAGATGGCTATCTAGAAAAGCGTCAGAAAATCACAAAAAAATCTTTAGAGGCAGCGAAAGATTTTCTAAACAATATTGATAGTCCAGAAAAAGAAGTTCAAAATATGCTCAGTTCATCCAGGTGACGACAAGTAGAAGAAAATCGCAGGAGATTGTTGCCCATTATAGATACCATAATTACTATGGGTAAGCAAATTTCCATTTAGGGCCATAAGGATGATGGTTTTTTAGATCTTTCTTCAGAAGAAAATGAATCGATAGTAAACGAAGGTATTTTTAGAGTATTACTAAAGATGCGAATTAGAGCTGGAAACATAGATCTGATAGAACATTTTAATACTGCGTCTGCTCAGACAACATACATTTTAAAAACTACTCAGAATTACATTATAAATTGCTATGGAGAAAAGATTTTAAGCATTATTCGTGATAACATCAAGGATGTCAAATTGTATTCAATATTGTTTAATGAAATAATGGCGATCTCGCAGCTAAGTGAACTTGTGCGATATACTCACGGTTCTGAAATAAGAGAAGATTTTATCGGATTTATTGACATCTATAAATTCATTAATGGATTACAATTCGATAATGAAATTAAAGCTAAAATAGATGGTTAGCGGTGGAGTCAAGCAATGATTAAAATTAACGGAAAAAAAATAATATAGATATAAAAGTTGTGTAGAGGAAAGTCGCCTATTGTGGGGTACCATTTTAATTATTACTAAAATTTAATGTTTTTTATTTCTGTTTAGCTTTCATTTTAGCAACATTGATTCTTTATTATGCAAGCACGAAACACTAAATAAAAATAGAGTTAAAACATTGGATTTTTTTATAAAAAAATAATTTAAATATTATGTGTCCACCCCATATTAGGATACCAGGTAGCCTAATATGGGGTCCTGATATGACCTAATATGAGGTACTTGAACAATTCATCTATTGCGGTTCTATATAGTACAAAAAATTTAAAAAATAAAACGTATTTATAAACTCTTTATTTTAATGATATATAAAATCACACACTTTTAAAAAAGTTATGAAAACCCTCGTAAAATCTAAATAAGAGTGTAAAAATTCAGTTTAAAATTAAAAAGACTTTTTTTAACTACAGATTATATTATAACCTGAACAAATAATAATAGGAACCGACAAAACTTAAAAGCTTCTACAGAAGTCATAAATATAGTTAGGCGTGTCATTTCCGGCACAGTGGACATGAGCCCATTCCAAACATCCTTTACATTGAACCCACTCCTCTATACTTTTGTCATCCTTAATATTTTTTAATTATCAACTTAAAATTTTAAATGGTCACTCCCCTGCAAGCTTCCTGGATCCGCCCTTGCCGATATGGAGCACCGCTATGGGGTTGTACTAAACGAACTAATGTGGATATTGTTCAGAGATTACAAGATAAAGTACTCCGAAATATTGTGTATGCTCCCTGGTATATTCAGAATACAAATTTACATAGAGATCATCTCTGTTTTGAGATATCAGACTGCTTAAAAAAATAACTATTCACAATATAGTATGCATGAAAAATTGTTTTTAAAATTTAAAACTATCAAATGATACTTCACTATTTTTACTCAAATGCTACTAGATTACGTTCCTTAGGACAAGTTTATTTGCGCCTTAAGATAACACAGATTTCTTATAATAATGTTTTCAAACCAGATAAGTACCTATTTTGCTCTCTTGATTGTTCTCAAACGACAAAATATATTAATTAATATACGTTAAGCTTACTAGTTATTTTCCTGTTTTTTTGTTTCTTTAAGAAGTAAGGAGAAATTATGCACTAAATCATTACCCCATACTTGGGGTTTCTCTTTTTCTTACAATATTTTACGTTTATTTGTTTTCTGCATTTCTGCTTCATGGTAAATAAAAAGTAAAAGTGATTTAATACTCTTATGGCATTTATTATCCATTCGTAAAATTTGTAGTGCCATAAACAGAACCAAAGAAGTTGAATTAACGCCTGAAAGGTTTAATACTGTTAATTAAAACCTTCCTTATAAAGAAGTGGTTTGATTCTCTTTTGACTCGAGCTTGTCTGAGTATTATTACAAGAACCTTCGACAATGACTTTGATATGACCTTTATTATTACTTCCTAAATCGTGGCTGCATTATAATTCCGTTTTTATGATGGAATGTTCCATAACGTATTAATATTACTTAATTGTTCAATGAAAAAAGTTAGTTCGTGAGAAAGATGAATATTTATGAATATGTAATTACCTAGTTCAACAATAAATAAAACTTCTCACATTATTTATAAAACGGAAATTATTTAATATCGTATAAGGATCAAAAATATTAAAAAAAAACAACATATTTCATACAGTGCTACTCAAAAGTCCCCCGCTCGTATATTTTGAAGAATAATTATACTTAGATTATTAGTGGTAGAATCTGATTATAATAAGAACACCGCTAAACCATTACTTCGAATTTCCAATACATATTATCTGTATTATAACTATCAATAAATAAAAAATATGTTATTCGTTAGGTATAAAAAAATATTTTCCATATTTCTATAATATTAATAAAGGTGGAGGACTCCTACTAATTTCTGAAAGAAGTTAGGTACGTCCAAAGAAGTAGAGAGGGGAGAACGATAAAGTACCGTCTGCGCATCCATCACGCATCCTTAACGGTTAAAGAGTTTGATGTGAAACAAAAAATTCAATATTAATAAACTTATAAAGCAAATAAAAGTTACAGCAAGAAAAGTCTCAAAATTAAACTGATATCGCCATATTTTAACAAATACTTGTATTTTTTCATGTTTTAAGCAAATACTGAGCTAAGAAGTGCATAAAAGTGCATTTAAAATGTCCAACGACCTTTTTCTATTGTTTGTCTAGTAAACTAAGTGATAAACTACAATTTAATCAGTCAGCATATACAGGTCGATGCAAAGTCTTGGAAAGGTGATAATAGGGGAGGTCATTTAGACCTAATTAAGCCAAAGATACCTTAGTACAAAGTCTTACGGTTTTCCAGTTCTTCGAACATTTTGAATTTCTTTAAAAAAATGCATTTTTTCACATTTTTCTCCTTTTATCTCTAAAATAAAAGATGACAGTTTAATAATATTTTTTTTTATGAGCAGAACGTCTTTTCTGAAAGTGTAAAGAAAAGACTACAAAAAATAAATAAATTTTTAGTCATTTTTCTTTTTACTGATAAAAAATTACTTTTTCTGCTGAAGTTTGTTAACAAAATCAGCTTGTCAGCATTATTAAAAATACATTTAAAAACATCTGTTAGTTGTGGCTTTTCAAAAGTGTGTTATTATGTTTAGGTACCTAGTCAACTTTAAAAACCACAACCAAAAAAATGCTAATTTATGTGAAAACTAGAAATCGAATTTAGACCATAAACAATAAATAAAACAAAATTTCCTATTAAAACATGGTTTATTGTTGTTCAAAATGGGATCCTTACTTTCTTATGCATGCTAGGGCTCTACGTCTTACTTCGGTAATTGTTGTTCATAATAACATGTTCTGTTGCATTACTTGAAAATTCTCTTCAATTTTTCTTATTAAATGGGCTCTTGTTACAATTTCTTCATTATAAACTAATTCTTTAGCCTGCCCCCAGACATAAAAATCCAGTGGCGTCAAGTCCGTAGGCCACAGAATTGGTCCACCTCTGCCGATCCAACTATCCGGAAAAATATCATCCAAATATTGTCTTAGGTCTAGACGAAAATGGGCTGAACATCCGTCGTGTTGGAAAATAATTTCCATGTCATCTGCAAACTCTAATCCTCCAAGTAATTCAGGTAGATTATTTTGCAAAAAATATAAACACTGTCTCCTTTTAATCTTTCAGGCAAAAATGAGGACCGATTAAATTTCGTCCAATGATGCCGGCCCATACATTAACGTAAAATTTGTGCTGAAAAGACACTTGTTTTTTCCAGTGTGGATTTTCGTCTTTATTAGCCCATTGATGCAGATTGTGCAAATTTGTAATGCCCCCCTTGAAAAATTTGATTCATCGGTCCTGTATACAAAGTATCATCTTGTTGTAATCAATTACCTCAAAGTATCAAAAGTTTGTATTTAGTCAGCCTAAGGTTAAATTTGCTTTCCTAAACATTTTGGTAATTGTGACTTGTTCCTTTTTTTCATTGCACCCTTCAAATATGTTAGAAAGCACAGAAAGTGAGGCATGAATAAAAAAAAGTACAGTGACTATTACTTCCCTGATTAGGCTGTTTCGTCTTTCACAATGCAATACTGCCACTCCAAACGGCTTGAAGAAAATTTGTACTGAAACAAATAAAAAACAGTATAAGTAACAACCTGAATTAAATCAATATAAAAAAGCAGGGATGTAACCAAATTGCTTTGATAAACATACTCGAATTGTATGTCATTCGAAGTAGAAGGAAGTTTGTCTGGTACATGATCAACACACATACCTTCCGATTCTGAGATATGTCAACAGTTACATTTCCGGAAGTACCAGGAACTTTAAACTTATTTTCAAAAAGTTTATCACATACTAAATTGTTTTTATACACGTGTTGTGTATTGTTTTATTATTAAAAAACGGAGTGTAAATAACCAATACCCAAATTTCAAATAAATCATTATTATGAACGGGTACGGGAAAACGATGCCTTTTCAGATTGTTTGCAAAACAATTAGGCACACAATAATACGGCATATTTTAACTTTTAAACAAAAAATCACCACAAAAATTAAAAATAAGCTCACATTCGTTAACAAGATCAAGTAAACAAAATGAAAATTTAGAACCCAACTTAACAAGACTAAGTTGACGATACAATAAACAATAATTTACAAAATAATTACTATTTATTCACCAAGGATCCAGGAGACTCCCAATAGTCCTAAATACAATCAATTAAACATGAATTTATAACATTTTATTCACAATAAAAATAATGGTAATGGATGCCAATGACAAATGACACATGATATTTGTAAATTGTGTGTATGTCGTAGTCAAATTGTAAAATCCGTCGTTTTATAAAATGTCTAAACATTTTACAAAAGACGGTCAGATTGTCAAATTCTCGTTTAACATTTATATTATTTTCCGATCTGGCTAGTCGGATTGTAAAATGCCTAGTTGTTTTATAAAATGACGGTCAACACACGGCCAGATTGTCAAATGTTTAAAATTATATTCTGCTTGATATTCTGGCGGGTGAAATGTTTTAGTCGTTTTATAAAATACGAATTTTACTATAAAGTTAGGGTTTACTATAAAGTTAGGGCCATTATAAATTATATTTTTTGTTTAATGGAATTAAAACATATTATAACGAATATTTTACATATTTTTCTAATAAACCGTACAAATAAAGCTTGAAAACAAATTAAACTGTAGATCAAATAAAACTGAAGAACAAATGAACATAAGATAAAACAACACTTGCTAAGCTTAAAAGAACCAATAATAGTCTTGTCCGACCGTATGATTTCTGCACTGTTTTTTAATCAAAATACAATTTCTATAGATGATTATTGATGGATAAATACGGTTTTGCTATCAAAATATGGCTTTTTAATATTACTTAAAGGTATATTTCTGTGATTTATGATTATAGAAAA